GCGCGGTGTCTCGCTCGGCGGTTGGCTCGTCGTCGAAAACTTCATCACGCCCAGCATCTACGGTCAGACGGGCAACCCCAAGATCATCGACGAGTGGACCTTTGGCTCGCTTCAGCCGCGCAACAAGGCCGTCTCCATCCTGCAGAACCACCTCAACTCGTTTGTCAGCGAGGACGACTTCAGGCAGATGGCCGCCGCCGGTCTCAACCACGTCCGCATCCCCATCGGCTACTGGGCCTTTGAGGTGAGCTCTGGCGAGCCTTTCCTCAAGCTCAACCAGTGGGACCTGCTCAAGCAGGCCGCAATCTGGGCTGGCAAGTACAACCTCAAGGTGCTCGTCGACCTGCACGCTGCGCCGGGCAACCAGAACGGCTTCGACCACGGAGGCAGGCGAGGCGTCAACGCCTGGGCCGGCAACGCCACCAACGTGCAGCGCACGCTCAACGTGCTCCAGACCATGTCGCGCGAGTTCTCCCAGGCCAAGTACGCCAACTCGGTGACTGCCATTGAGCTGCTCAACGAGCCCGTCACCGACCAGAATGTCGTGCTCGACTTCTACAAGCGCGGCTACGAGGTGGTGCGCTACCCCAACGGTCGCAACGCCGCCGAATCGCCGCTGCTCGTCGTCATCGGCGACGAATTCATGTCGCCCGCCTGGTCCAACTACTGGAACGACAAGCTGCTCCCGCCCCAGTACGAGGCCGTCTCGGTCGACTCGCACATCTACACCATCTTTGACGACAACTCGCTGCGCCTCTCGAGCAAGGACCGCACCGGCTACTACTGCTCGCTCAAGCCCAAGATCGCCGCCGCCAACAAGGTGCACTACCAGCTGCTCGGAGAGTGGACCCCCGCCTTCACCGACTGTGCCCAGGGTCTCAACGGCCGTGGCCGCGGTGCCAGGTACGACGGCACCTTCACTGGCAGCAAGGGCAAGATCAACTCGTGCGGCCCCAAGACCGGCGACGCCTCCGCCTTCTCCGACAACTACAAGCGCCTCCTCGGCACCATGTGGGAGTCCCAGGTCGACTCGTACGAGGCCGGCATCGGTTGGCTCATGTGGACCTGGAAGACCGAACCCAAGGCCGCCGAGGACTGGAGCTACCAAAAGGGCCTCCAGTACGGATGGATCCCCAAGGACCCCACCAAGAGGCCCAACGGCTTCAAGTGCTAGGCATCTCCGACATTCCCACATCCTGCGAACCCCCTCGCGGAGCTAGCTCCCTTATCCCCAAAGGTCGAGCGCCCGCGCCCCGTCCCATCCATCACAGCTATTTGCTTCACTCTCACTGTCTCTACAAGGCTCTCTGCATCCCCGGATAAGTAATCGTTGTACAACATGCCGAGTGATCATGTGTGGCGCCTATTCAGCTGACTCGACATCGTGTTGCGCCTCGCTTCGAGCTTCCCTGAGCAACTCTACCAGCGTCTTGGCCAACCCCTGTGTTCCCTGCTTCTTCTTGGCCGAAAGCGTGAGCACCTTCATGGGAGCGCGCTCGGTGCCCTGATTGACCTCGCCCGTCCTCAGCGCCTGCTGATCCTCCCAGATCTCGTTGACCTGTCGTCGGATGCGATCGATCTTGACCTTGGCAGCTTGGATCTCGTCGGGCGTTGTGAACTGATCCGCCTTGTTGATGATCACCAGCCGAGCCTTGGCTGGCAGATCGGAGCGATACGAAGCCAGCTCGTTGTGCAGCACGCCCAGATCCTTCCAGGGCTCGGGTTCAGTGAGATCGAGCACGTACGCCAGGATCGAGCATCGCTCAATGTGGCGCAGGAACGTATGACCAAGGCCGCGGTTGTCAGCCGCGCCATCGATGAGACCGGGAATGTCCGAAAGCACCAGTCGGAACTCCTCGGCATCCGACAGCATGTCCGCATCAGTCGCACCGCCATCCCGGTCGTGTCCGTAACCCTCCTGCACCTCGGAATCATCGACACCCATGACACTGCCGTCTTGTCCCAGACGCACCACGCCCAGGTTGGGCGAGAGCGTGGTGAAGCGCCAGTGACCCACCTGCGCCTTGGACGCAGAGATGGATCGAAGGATGGTCGACTTGCCCGCATTGGGCAGGCCCACAAGCCCAATGTCCGAGGGCCGCTTGAGCTCCAGCATCACCTCGAGCGCCTCTCCCCATTCGCCCTTGGTTGCGAACTTGGGCGAGCGGTTCGCAGACGACAGGAACGTGGGGTTGCCCAGGCCGCCTCGACCTCCTGCAGCGAGCAGGATGCCCGGTGAGTCAGCGGGCGTAGGCTCGTCGAGGTCGATGCGCCAGGGCTGCTCGAGGGGCTCCTCATCTTCGTACGGAGTGACCGATGCGGCGGACGACTGATCGGCCGCGATGGAAGAAGACGCGACGGTGTGAGCCGCAGCGGCGAGCGCAGCCTGAGCCTGTGCCTGATATCGGCGACGACGACGGCGATCAATCGCCAGACGCATCTCGGCGGCTCGGAACTCGTTGCGTCGGTAGTAGGTCTCTTGCGCCCGAGGATAGTGGCGCCAGACACGGTCACGTAGCAGCTGCAACTGACGCGCGTCTTCCGGATCGAGCAAGTCCTCTCCATCGATCTCCTCTTCTGCTTTCTTCGCTTTCTCCGCGTCGGACGCTGCTCCGTCTTCGGTCGAATCGAGCTCGGACACCTCGGCCTGGCTGACTGCCTCCCGATCCGCTTCTACGGGTGGCTGCAATCTCGCGAGACGCCTGCGCTCCTCGTGTTCGGCCGCAAGCACAACGTCCTCCTTTGCTACCAGGCCAGTAGGATCCCACTTGGCCTTAGCCGCCCGCTTCAGCAGATCCTGATAGTATGTGTCGGCCTCTACCTCTTCGGGGATGCGGAGGCGCCGAGTCGCCGTGACTACAGTTCCGACAGGCACCTCGACGACCTTGTCCTCGTTTTTCTTGCCGTGCAAGAAGCTGCCCTGTCCATGCGGACCGTCTGCGCCGCGAAAGCGACGCGAGATGCGCGCCAGCGTCGTGGGTCCCTCCACGGCACGGATGTAGATGGAGCCGCCCGAGCCGCCGTTGCCTCCCGATGGCGGGCCGAACTGGACGTACTTTTCGCGGTGGAAAGAGACACAGCCGTCGCCGCCTTTGCCGCCGGTGACGCGGAGGTAAAGCTGGTCGATGAAGTTCGAGTGTCGATTGCGCTGCCACTCTGCCTTGCGCTTGGCCTTGAACATCTCGCTGTTGAACGCAGTGGCGGAAGTGGAGAGCGTTCTTGTTCCGGGACCACCATGCTGCATTCTAGAATCTGGGCGTCGGTTCCACGCAGAGCCGGACCGAGAGCCGGCATGAGGACGACCGCCTGCTGCAGAGCTGGAATTGCGGGTGCGACTGCGCTGTCCTTCATTGGGCCCCTCTAGATCGACTTGTCCTTCAATGAAACCTCCTTCAGCCTCGGGTTCCGCCCGTTTAAAGGTATTTCCGAAAGTGTCCTTGAAGCCGCCAAACTGGTGCAAAGCTGCACGAACATACCTGCGCAGTTCTTCACTTCTGCGATCGGCTCGAGCGCGGGGTCGACTAGCTATGGCGGCGTGCCTATGCTCAATCTTGATCTCGACCGACACCGGGGCAGTGGAAAGGTAGAAGGAGGCGTCGTGGGCGACGATGGCGTCTTCTGGCGTTTCTGCTGTTGCTCTGGACTCGTCGACATAGTGGCGCGGCGGCAGAGCTGCTTCCATGTCTACGAGAGGAGCAATATCAGTCCATCCTGGCCGCAAGGCGGATGGATTCTGAAGCGAGCGTGAGGAGTGGTGAGTCTGAGACGCCGATCCGTGCTTGGAAGGAGCGTTGCAGCTGGTCAAAGGCGCTGTGCCCACGATTCGCTCGTGCTCTTCGTCCGAGAGATATGTGCGGGGCGCTCTTGACGGAAGGACGGGTGGAAGAGTGACAGTGTGGATGCCGTCGTTGGCGAGCGCCTTGCGCAAGCTCTCCCGGTCCAAAAAAGTGACACTGCCATAACCGAGAAGGCGCTGCGAGCCAGGTTCGCGAGGGAAGTGGAAACTTTGAATCGGGCCAAACTTGGATGCGAGCTGAGCGAGAAGAGAGAGGGTGTGAACGACAGAGACGAGATGGTTGCCGTCCTTTGGGCGGATGAAGACGGTCCTTGCTTTGGTGTCGTCGCCGCGGACGAACGTCTTGTCGAGGGCACGAGAGGGCGGCGAGGGGGACGGCGATGAGGACGGCGACGAGGACGGCGGGGACGACGGTAAGGAAGACTTGTGATTGCTGATAGGCGGCGGTGCTTTGCTGTCGTCGAACTTGTAGTTTGACTGGCGAACAATCGAAGACGAAGCATGGCGTCTGCTTGTGCGAGCAAGAGCCAACAGTGGAGCGCGCTGAGCAGCAAGGAGAGGCTGCAACCTCAGCGTGAGCTGGGCGCGGTTCGCAGCCATGCTAGCAGGAGGCTTGTGCCGACCGTGAGGGTACGCCAGCTGCTCGAACTTTAGAAGAACACTGCAGTGCAGCGCTGATGAGGATGGGAGCAAAGGTCAAAGAGGAAGGATGACGATCAGACGTTCCAGCCGGCCGATCTCCACATAGCCAACGGCCAGGAAGGGTCCAGACTTGTTTTTTCTTCCGGACAGAGGAATAAATTTGGCAGCCTTTCGCAGTCGTGCTCGCCGTGGTCAGCCGCGATTTTGGAGTGGCCTGCCGATTCGCGTTCCGAGATCCGGATACCGAGTCCCGATGGGCCCTCCCACGGCGGAGCAGCCGGCCAGGCCCTGCGCCATGCATCCATCCAGCTGCAGACAAATGAAGAGCACACAACTGAGACCTCCGGAGGCGGCTGGCCGCTCTTCTGTTTCGAGATCGCATGCAGATCCCGTCTGCGCTGCCAACCTAGATCTGCCCCCGACTACAGTCAACTTGATTCCGATATGAAAGTGTCTCATTGTTATCAATACTTGTACGCCAAGCAGCCGGAGTCTGCTACAGTAGCGGTCGGCTCCCGTCTGAGCTGATGAGCATGAATCTGCACCAGCTCCGCTTTGCTCAATGACGTTCCCACGTCGGTCGACCCGGCCATGAAAGGGATCCGCAAGCTTGGAAAATGAAGAGTCTACGATTGGCTGTGCATGTGGCCGCTAGTCGTTAGCCGAATGGCATATTCAAAAAAGTCAGGGCGAGCCTGAGACAGAGTTGCCTGGTCGTTTAAGCGCGTGCAGCCGCAGAAAAGCGCGGGCGGGCGGAAGCAGAAGGGAGCGCTTGGATCTGGCGCTTCTGCGGGCGGCGAGAAGACCGTACCCTCACCATCCGTGCGTCCGGAAGACAAGCACCGGCGGTGGCAATCAGCCTCTCGGGAATCAAGCTTCCGCTCAGCGCCAAGGCAAAAGGTCGCATCGTCAAGCGCTTCCCGCTGGAAGCAACGCAGACTCCGCCCCGAAGCACCTCGCAGTTCCGCCCTTTTTGTAGAGCCTCTCAAGTGGCGAAAGACGGCAGAACCGATAAAGGCGCTCGTGCTTCGGAAGCCTTCCGAAAGCGCCTCTCACAACGCTGCCTTATCTCTCTACATCCTTTCCTTTCCCACACCACCATCGCGGTCGGCCAGTCTCCCATCATGATTGACTTGCGGATCGACGGCATCTCCGTCTGGATCGCAGCCGTGGCTGCAGTCGCAGTCGTGCTGCTGCTCTTCAAGCAAAAATCGCGCGGCATCACCGACACGCCACCGCTGCAGCGCCCG